GTAGCAAAGAGGGCAACTTCGAACGGAGTGATGAAAGATGTCTTGCTCTGGTCTTGCTCTTTTAATGCGATCTGGTGATACCCTAAATAGCAACCGAGAAAGGATAATAGGGCGGATCCTGCAGTTGAATCAACTATCTGATCAATGCGTGGTAGCCCGAACGGATCTTTTGGGCAGTGCTTGTTGAGATCTGTGTAGTCGACACACATGCACCATTCGTCCGTGTTCTTTTTCTCGTATTTAGAACCGGGTTTGCTAGCTAACTGGATGAAGGATTTCTCCGATGAATCCGGCCGCCATTAGCTTTGTGATTTCTTTTTAATCACGCCTTCTTGTCGTGAGAATCGTCAGAGCTGCGTTGCTTTATAGGCTTGGAGCTTTCATTGATATCAATTCTGTGCTCAGCCAACTCTCTTGGGACACTTGTCATGTCGACCGGCTTCCAAGCGAAGATATCTTTGTTGTCCCGAAGAAAGTTGGTGAGCGCGAGTTCCTATTTTGCTGAGAGGTGGGTACCGATGGTTGTTGTCTTGGAGGAATCGCCAAATGCCTGTGTCGATTTGCTTGACGTTGACTTCTTTTGGTGGTGCGAGGATGTTTGGGCTTTTTAGCCAGTATCTCTAGTTCTTCTTGGCTTATTCTGCATGCAATAGTGGCTATTTTTTTTTCTTCTATTGTCGGCTTGTGCTTTGACCGCAATTTGGATTGCTCGAACATCATAGTCAAAGCGCGCGCTTCAAATCACTTCAAAGAGAAAGGACACCGTTAGGTCCCGCATCTTAAGCGAAGAGGTACGGATAATGTGGTATTGCCATGAATTTTGCTATACTGGGCGCCCGAGGATTGCATGGTATGATGAATCAAGTCCATGACCTCAAACTTGATGAACTCTGTACGGTAGCTCGAGGGAGTTCCAAAAGTAACGGGTAGAGTAATTTGTCCAAGTGGCATGGCTGCCTTGCCGGGTACTATGCCATAAAAAGGTGTACTTGTTGGTGTAATCATCCCGATGAGTTGCAGTCCCATCTTCCTTAGCGTTTCTGAAAAGATGATGTTGAGTCCGGCTCCCCCATCGATTAGTACTTTGGTGACAGTCATACCGGCAATAGTTGGATCTAGAACCAGTGGGTAATGGCCTACGTTTCCCACGCTAGTCCATTGGTCTTCTCTGAAAAATTGGAATGGATACTGTGACCAATTAAGATATCTTGGAGTAGCCGGTTCTGCTGCCATGATAGTTCGTAGTGCTAATTTTTCTTGATGTTTGCTTCTAGAATCTGGGGCCCCAGAGAAGATCACTGCTACCGTCCCCCTGGATTTTTGGAATCCCTTGTCTTCGTTGTTGTCCTCATCTTTTTTCTGATTGTCTTCTTTAGTGTTCTCCTTACTATCTTTTCTTGTGTATCGATCATTGAAGGTGTAGCAATTTCCGATGGTGTGCTTCCCATTAGGGTGCAATGGGCAACGTATGTTTTCGATGTCGTCATATCTTCTGGGTTTGGAAAACTTCTTTGATTTGTCAGCCATTGCCATGGTGTTGTCTGGTCTATGTTTTCTTTCCCGATGTCTGCTATTTCGATGATTTTGCTTATCCAGGTTGTCTCTGTTGCTTCTATCCGGGAACCTCTCTCGTGTCTTCTCTTCTGTAGTAATCATCTTTTCTACTGTTCGTCTGAATTCTTCATTGTTTCTCGGATTTTCTTTGCGTAAGTCTTGAAATTGCCACCTAGCCATGATTCCATGAGAGAAAGCTTCAATTACTTCTCGCCTCGTGATGTCATGCACTTGAGCTCGTAGTTCGCCGAATCGTCGATAGTAATCTCGAGACTTTCACCTTCATTCTCGCTTGAGTCCTTTTAACTCTGCGTGGGTGATCGTGTGTAATGATCCCTACGAAATTTTCACTGTAAAGCTCTTTGCAAGCCCTCCCAATTTCGATTGATCCCGGATTCAATTTGTCGAACCATTGGAGAGGCATGGTTTCTAGGGCCATGGAAAAGAAACAGGTCTTGATATCATCGTCTCCTCCGGCTAGTTCAATTGATTGCGAATATATCCCGAGCCACCGCCTTGGTTCGGCTTTTTTGCCATCATACTTAGAGTGGTTGGACGGTTTGAACTTGTGAGGTAGTCGATTGACGCAAGTCTGCTTGCAAAATAGGGAATCTATCGTATGCGTTTGACTTCTTTGAATTCGATTCAGCGCCTCCTTTCCGCCAACTGTTGTTTTGATGAGAGTAATTTCATGAGGCCATCTCCGGCAAAGCGCCCGCGCTCGATCTTTCTTGGTTGTTCAACTCGGTGGCTCTGACTATGGTCCCTTCTACTTTATCTGTTATGACTTCCACTTGGTCCAAGTCTCTCGAAAGCGGACTTTCTTTGATTTTGATCTTCTTGCCTATGGGTCATTGATCTGGCGAGTAGTCTTGAGTGGGTCCTTTCTTCATGCGTCCTCAGGGCTGCTGACCGGAGAAAGTCCCAGAGCTGTTCATGTTTTTCACTTGGATGTGAGGTCGCTCTGAGTTCTTCTAATGCTTCTCGGATCTTATCGTAGGGCGTACTTGCCATGCGTCTTTCTTCGACTTCTCGTTGTGATTTTCTTCTGTCGTACTCGTCCAACTTTGACTCATATCTGATCCAAGCTTCCTTGCGCTGCCTAGCACGATGTTGGCGTCCTTGCTTCAACTTGTTTTTTCTTTCTCTAGCTTGTTTCTGATTCTCGGTCTCACCATCGTAGCCCTGGGCAAAGGGTGATATGTTGGATTCTGATTCATCCGATGACCGACATCGGGCGCTCTGGGGGACCAATGGTGATCGAGGACGTTGAACCATGAGTACTTCCGCGCGTGAACTGTTCTATTATTGGCGTTAGTTTCCACTAATCGTCGGAGGTTGATAACTTTAGTAGAGGCCTCGAGGTCGCAGATCGAATCTCCTTGGTAGGGTAGAATTGCCGTTGTCGTCGTGTCGACCAGTCGGGTACTGCTATCATCAGGAGCAGAGTCCGGCCAGTGGACGATGCAGTCTTGAGATGTTATAGCTAGTATGAGACCTTCCTGAGCTCCCTTCAGTGGCATTCTAAGCACCGGATCGAGGAATCCTCCGGGCCGTGTCTGATAAGATGTTGCCATGTTGTGGAATCCGAGCGAAAAAGGATCCGACTTCTTGAAAAGATTCTGCGTGTACTCCGAGTTGTATTCTTGATAGGTCAGGGCCGTGTTCTTAAGCCCCATTGGAAAAGAACTCGGTTTCCCAAAAGAACTCGGATAAGACTCTATCTCAGATGCGGAGCCTGAATTCGAGTCGGATGCACAAAGCCGTGAAACATGAGTTGAATCGGACATCATGAGCTGCGCGAATCTTCCGGAGATTTGATCTGTCGTAGTCGCCGAAATAGAATAGTCTTCATGGTGATTCGAATCTTCGAGGAGACGGCTTTGGAGCTTGCCATTGTCGTCCGCCTCGCAGATCTATGAGCCGAAGATGAAAGTTGATCTCATCGAGAAGATCATGCTGTCGAGGTCCATCGAGCTCTCGGATGCAAATTCGCCGAAAGCCCCTACCTGGCGCGCTAGCTGTCGATGTTTGACCACCGATAGCCTGCCACGGGGGTCCCCGGGGCAGTATTGTTCGGACTTCAGCATATGCGGAACTCGACGGTGAACGCAAGAGACAGTCGATTTATCCTGGTTCAGGCCCTCGATTGTGGTCGAGTAATAGCCCTACGTCCAGTCGACGTTAGCCTTTGCGTTGGATTGATTGTGTGTTGTAGAAATCGTGATCTCTCGTCTCTAGGAACCCTGCCCTCCTTTATATAGTCAGGAGGTCAGAATCCTAGTCGGTTTACAATGAGAGTTCTTAGTAGGATTACAGGATAATACTACTACTAAGATTACATGGGGAAAATCCTAGTTAGACTAGATCTTCTCTCTTCCTTGTGGGGTATCCTGTGGGTCCCTTTGACCCCCCGAGACCGAAAGACACCTTTGCTTGTAGTGCCCCTTTGCCCATATGATCTGGAACCAGATTCTAACCTGGGATCATCTCAGGGTGAGGTTGATTGTGCTTTTGGATATGAGCATCACAATTAGTGGTTGGTGGGAGAAAACACCAGTGAGATCCCAAAAGACAAGAGGTGCAATTTTAATGGTATGACCATCTATATAATGTGTGATATTTGGAAATAACATAATCGAAACATCTTTGACAGTATGTCCCAAACAAAAGGTAGCCCTAAAAGTGAAGGAAGACATTTCTTAGTGCAAAAGCGGTTTTAATAATCCACCCTAATTTTTGTTTTCTTAGCTTAGTGTATCCTTGTGTTCAGGGGAGGTTTCTCAGCCTTTGGGGTTTTTTTCATGTTTTAGTGTTGTAGTCTAGAAGCTGGCCATTGCCTCTCTATTGTTTTTGGGTTGTTTGTATCTCTCTATCTAATTGAAATGTACAGCTCCTGTCATTTGCGTTAAAAGAAGTTTCCAATTCTTGTCTGTATTTGTTTGTTTTCATATTCCGAAATACTTATCTTGTTTTCATTTCCATTTTTGTTTTCGTAGTCAATTGTGGAAACGAAAATGATTAAGCTTGTTTATCCCTACCAATTTGGTTTGACACTTTTTCTCGGTATACTACAATTTGCACATACCCACTTGATTATATCGGATCGGATACCAGTATCCGACGCGTTTGGGCCGATTTGGATACGGCCCAACTTACCTCCCGGCTCCCAGGCCTCCCGCACAGCCACACCGCACAGCACGCCCGACGCACTCCGCCCGGCGAACAGCGAGCGGCGGCCGGCGGCGACGTAGTCTGGCGGCACCCCTCCCAGATCCCGGCCCCTTGCAGTTGCAGCCTGGTGCCCCTGCTCCGCGCATCGCCAGGCGCCTCACCATCAAATCGGCCAGCGGGAGGCAGCTCCCTTCATCCCAGCAGGATTCAATCATCAGCGAAGTAACTGGTCACTTCAGGAAGGAGGAGCACGAGCGGAGCACAAGGCGGCCATGGCGGACGAGGCGGAGCTCGCCGCGGACCAGCACGTCCGCTACATCGTCACCGTGGAGAAGGTAACGAGCGCGGCCACCCCGCCCTTCCCGCCCCGCGTCCCCTCGACTCCTCCCTCCGCTTTCCAACGCCCGCTGTTGTCGTCGGCGCAGAAGAAGGACTCGTTCGAGTCGCTGGTGATGGAGCACATCCGCCTCAACGGCGCCTACTGGGGCCTCACCACGCTCGACCTCCTCCACAAGCTCCACGCCGTCGACGCCGCCGAGGTCGTCGACTGGATCATGTCCTGCTACCACCCCGAATCTGGTACCTCACCCCTCGCCCAAATCCTCGCTCTGTTTTTTCTCCCCCCGGTGAATTGGACTGTGGAGAATTAGGTTTGATTCGTATGTGTGGTCTGCTTGGGTTGTATGTGGTTGCACAGGCGGATTTGGAGGGAACGTTGGGCATGATCCGCATGTCCTCTACACGCTTAGCGCCGTGCAGGTCCTCTGCCTCTTTGATCGGCTCTATGTACTTGACGTCGACAAGGTTGCTGATTGTATCCTTTTTCCCAGATTTTGAATTGGGTTCTCATGTCCTAGTGAGCAAAGCCAGTTCTGCAACCTTGGTTTTATTATTAAAGCTCACTGAACTTGAAATCCAGTTCGTTTTCCTTATCTAAATCATGCCAGATGTCGCCGGACTGCAAAACAAGGATGGATCGTTTTCTGGCGATATTTGGGGTGAAGTTGACACTAGGTAGGTAAAAACCTTTTATGTGTTGCCACTTTCGAGTTCCTAGCATAACAATCCATGTGAGATAGTAATTAAAGTTTTGAACTTATTGCTTTTTTTTAATTTCTGTATATGTAGGTTCTCATATATTGCCCTATGTACCTTATCATTACTGCACCGTCTGCATAAAATCGATGTGCAAAAAGCTGTAGATTTCGTTGTTAGCTGTAAGAACTTGGATGGTGGATTTGGAGCTATGCCAGGAGGGGAGTCTCATGCTGGACAAAGTATGTCTTACCTTGACTTCACCTGAAAATCTGCTTTGTGGTATTTCTGAGTGCAACTGGAATTTAATCTATTGTTTCTAGAGGATGCTTTATCAAGGAATAAGAATAGGCAAACTGGTTATGGAATGCAGTAGACTTTTTTTTCAAAGGAATATTACTGCATTTTTTTACATGTAATCTGATTACATGTAAAATACCGGGCGTGATCCCTGATCACATGGCCCCGTTCGCTTCGCTGAAAAAACAAGCCGAAACACTGTTCTAGCTGATTTGTTGCGAGAGAAAAACACTGTTCCGGCTGAAAAAACAAGCTGAAAAAGACGGATTATAAGAGAAGCGAACAGGGCCTTTGATTATTGATGAAATTTTAATTGACCTATTCTAGTATCACCATAAGACTAGCTGCCTAGTAGCTTGAAATTAGCTTTGCTGGATGTGATTACTTCCATGCTCAAGTATTTTCTGCAAGCTATTGCTTTAACAGTGGTTCAGTTAACCTGAACACCATATACATTTGCATGCAGTATTTTGTTGTGTCGGCGCACTTGCAATCACTGGGTCCCTGCATCACATTGATAGAGATCTCCTCGGATGGTGGCTCTGTGAGCGCCAGTGTAAAGACGGAGGACTTAATGGGCGGCCTGAGAAACTAGCTGATGTGAGGTTTACTTTGTTATAAGTCATGTATGCTTTGCATTCTTCAATACATGTTGCCACTATGGATTTAATTGAACCATTCCAAATTCTCAAGGTTTGCTACTCATGGTGGGTGTTATCAAGCCTAGTAATGATTGATAGAGTGCATTGGATTGACAAGGAGAAGTTAACAAAATTCATACTAAACTGTCAGGTAACTGTTTATTATTCCCACTACTGCCATGTGGATAACCGTATGTCCCTTGACTTATAAATATTGGTTCCAACTCTTCTCATTCATGTTGATCGGAAGGACAAAGAGAATGGTGGCATTTCAGATAGACCAGATAATGCAGTCGATATCTATCACACATACTTCGGAATTGCAGGTGCTGCTTTTCTTCCCATACTGTGGTACTTTTATCATAAGAATCTTTGTGTGGCACGTAAATGGATTAGAATTATGAACTCTTTGCTGAATCTGTTAAAACCTCTCTTGCAAGCAGGACTTTCATTAATGGAGTACCCTGGTGTGAAGCCTTTGGATCCTGCCTACGCACTGCCATTGGATGTTGTCAATCGGATTTTCTTGAAAAAATAGAACATTCCATCTATTTTGAGATATGCTCAGATAACACTGTCAAATGTGGGCGCTACTTCACGGAATCACAGTAGTTAGCTTTGACGGACAAATAGCTGAGGTGTAGAATCAATTTTACATGGAAACAGGAACATGTTTGAATATCATAATAGCACATCTTGGACTTTTTTTTTTGAGCGTCGACCATACATCGGGTCTGAAGTCGTACCGTTTAACTACCACAAACATTGGCTGTGACCGCTTCCTAAATTTGTGCTTAGCTAATGTTTTTCTAGCATTTGCCACTTGCCCTGTTGAATGTTTCATGTATGTTGTGTTTTGCCAGTTGATCTGATTCTCTTGTTCAAGTCGCAACATTTTGTGTTTGATGACACACTAGTCATGAGCTATATATGTATGAACAGTAGACTTTTGTTTCTAAATGAAAAACAAGGTTAGCCACGCCATCTCAGTGGGCATAGTCTGACACACAACCTTCAATGGCTCGCCATATCATAAGGAAGCAAACGTTTTCAAGGCAGAAGGCTCAAATTTCAGTGAGGACTAAAAATATTTGCACAAAGCCTTTGGCTCCAAAGCAAAAACGGTCAGGCGCAAACAAGGCTCGCCACAAGGGAAAAGGCTCAAATTTCAGAGAGGACTGTTCTAAAAAAAAAAGTGAGGACCAAAAACATTTGCACAAAGCCTTTGCCTCCAAAACAAAAATGGCCAGGCACAAACAACAAACTCATGTAAGAATCTTCTGATTCAGATCGACATGCCTTGGTAGAACATTTAACTAAATAACATTTGATAACGCTCGAAGGATCGTTACAGCTCAATACACAGGAATTCAGGGCGAAACCTACAATAGAGCTACAAATTTACCAGATGCAATTCTCTTCCTACTCAAGCTTCTGATTTATACTACATAAGAGCTACTCAGAGAACGAACGCTACTGAAAGTGCAAATTGCTACATCCTTCCCGGGAGGCAGTTTGCCAATAATGGTATATGCCTGGAATTGGTCAAGAGGATGCAAACTGCAAACTCATTTCCAAGGCATGCTTGACAGGAACGGCGGTTGGTTATTATTGCTAGCAGCCATGCCTTGATGCAGTGGTGGTGGGCTTCCAGCGCCACCAGATGACTCGCTCAATGTACCTCTTGAAGGAGGGCTGTTGGGTCTCATCCCGGTTGTCGGAGTGACTTTCAGTGGCACTGATGTGGGGTCTGAAGGAGCATGCTTTTTTGGCTCTTTTTTGCCTCCAGAATTGAAGCTTCCCAGTACTATCTGCAGAGAATATATGCAGAGATAATCAGCATCTTTGTCTTGAGTACACATGTACAACAGACCAATAAAGTAAGGCAGTAGAAATTACACAGTGATTTCAAACTTTTAGGATATGAAACCCACTTTGGAGCACTACATTTAGAAAACGAGGGAATGCACGAAAATTGCACTGGAGATATACTGTTTCTAATAAACTACTGCAAGGGAGAAAAATAATATACCTGAACTGGTGAAGCTGCTATGAGAAGTCCTGCAACTCCACCACCCAACAGACGACCATCAGGGCCAGCCAGTGACACACTGAGCCCTCCAGTTCGACTACGCTGACCACCATTCTCCACTAGGAGGAATGACCCTGACAGTGATAGTATCTCGAATCGACCCTAAGGAAAAAAAATATCATTTGTTATTCAAATATATACATTGTACAGTGATTACGTCTGCAACTAAACCAGAAGTTTCCACCTCTCATGATAAAATCATAATATCTAGAACCCAATTAAGAGCTTTAGACAATATTTCTATTTCACCGAGAAGAGAAGTATGTTAGCTTCCACTGGCCATAAGCACAAACCTCGTATGTTACAGTTCCACCTGATGTAGCAGTCTGACGAAGCGTCACATTTGATATGGCACCATTTGCTGAAAGAACACAAACTGCACGTGTTCCATGCTGAGAAAACGACATAATCTTTGATGACACGTCCTGAAAAGAAGAGTGTGTTTTGTTATATTTCAGAAAACACTAAAAAGGGCGTACCCAGTGCAGAGAGCTCCCGCTCTGTGCGGGGTTTGGGGAAGGGTGTCAGTGGCAAGCCTTACCCTCGCCTGTGCAATGCGAGGAGACCGCGACTCGAACCCGGGACCTTCCGGTCACTGGCGGTAAGACTACCGCTTACACCAGGCCCGCCCTGAACCTTGAAATTTGCTTTCATTAACAGTCACAGATCCAGAACTCAACACCTTAACACTGAAATAAAAAGAAATGCTATGCAAATACCACTAATTAGCAAAGCTACAGCAACTGAAATTATTTGACATCAAACATCATATTAATGAAAGATACAAACATGAAGGTTAAACAATAATGCTATAAAGTGGCAATAATATGCACAAGCCAAAACTGGGAGGGCAAAACTTGAAATGTTCCAAACAATCAAGAGAAGAATAATCAGTTACCACAGTACAAAATGTCAAGAATTTAGTTTACACTCCCATCAGCACCACATGATGGAAGACATCTAAGCATAATGTGTTAGCTCAGTTGGAATTGCTTAGTGCTTCAAATTAAATGTCTGAATGAACAATTTGGCAATTCAACTTATTGACGGAATAACAAACCATACATTTTTTGTTTTTGTAAAAGAGGTTCCATAGTGGGAACATTATATATAGAAAAGTAGAGTGAAAAGAGAAAGTCCAAAAGAATGTAAACATGTGCAAAGAATCCAGGAAGAATAAAAGCAAGAACATATTCTGACAATAAAACAACAATCAACATGTTCAGATGCAAGATAGCGTGTTATACCTCCCCAGCTTGAACTGTAATAACATGAGGTGTAAATCCAACTCCTGATGACCCTGCAAGATGATTTCATGTTAGGGCTAGTTATGCTGAAATCATCAACAGAAAAATGAGTCAATGTACATCAGCTTTGCAGGACTTAGAATAACTAGCAGCATGCTTCATAAGTCAGCAGAGAAATAACCAACATGCCACCACTCTCAAAACGAACACGTGGTAAATTGTATACTGAAATAACTGAGGACAAATAAGTCCATCCACAATTTATAGTTTTGCGCAGTTAACTAATTAAAGCTAGAAGGGTAGTATAACCAGTACATACTTCAGCTCACCATGAAGCAGATTCAAATTCTAAAAGGACAACGGCACTTGAGCCAGTTCAATCAGCCTGTTCGGCTGGGCTTATACGATCGTATACGATCGTGGATTATAAGCTGGAACAGTATTTTTCTCTCACCAAACCAGTCAAACCAGCCAGCAGTAAATAATCCACGATCGTTTATGACGAAACGAACAGGCTAAGCTCAATAACAACTTTATCCTGATATATCATGCTGAAACTATACCAAAACCAAAACCTTACCAAAACCTTAAAATCAGTGTAAATGATAGGAGTAGAAATTTTACCAGCGGCATTCACACGCGGCTTGTTGGTAGAACCCTTAGGCCGGCCCCGCTTCTTAAATCCATCTGGCGACACCACCAGCAGAGAGCTCGCCGGATTTAACCCAGCCGGTGAAAACGGCCCGTAAGAACCCTGCCCTGTAGCCGTCGACCCCGTAGCCGCCGACGCAGGCACCAATGCCAGCGCCATGGGCCCGTCGGGCCCGTACTTTCTTGGTCGCCCGCGCTTCTTCTTGGCCACCGGCTCCCCCATGCCCGGTGCAGCTGACGCACCATTGCCACCAACGACCGTCGCCGCGGACATGCTAGCCCCGTGGGCTGCGCCCTGCGGCTGGTAAGACGGCGTCGTAGGCGAGGAGTTAACCGGAGCGTACACAGCGGTGCCGTCCGCGGTGTACGCCATGCGCACGCTCTGCATGGCGGCGGACGCCGGCGGCCCAGGCGCCGGCGCCGGCGGGCTCTTTGGCATACCGAATAGATCCCTCCCCGCCATCAGCCCTTGCTCGGACCTCACCTCCATGGCGGACCACCACCCGTTTCTTGACTAGAACTCAAATCTGCAATCTTTAGCCACTGGAAAGAGCTCACAAGCGCTCAAGTGAGGTCAGGACTAGGGATTGCGAACCTGCAAAAAAACCCGTAAAACCCTTCACTCCTTTCACGCGACAAACACACAGTTTTACGGCACAGGCAGATTTCTCGAAGAAATGGAAGATGGGAATAAGTAGAAATGAAAAGAAAAGTAAATTACTGGCGGAAATGGGAGATAAATAAAAAATGGGCAAAGGAAATGGTAAAAGGTCCAAGAAAAGGTAGGTTTAAAGACCAACAAAGCACATAAGCTGCAGATCCCCACTTTTGCCCGGATTTTGCAGGGGGGATACCCAACAAATCACCAGAATTTCTGACCCAACAGTTGGAGAATGAAGAAAAAAAATATGAGTTCAAAAGGATGAGCAAGTTCCAGACCGGAAGATCATGAGCTAGGAGAAGGCATCACACTAGCACCACAGACGCACG